CAGATTTCCTATGAACTGTGAATATCCTTTAAGATCTTGTGAAATTGTGTGTGTGTGTGTGTGTGTGTGTGTGTGTGTGTGTGTCCGTCTGTCCATCCGTCCATCCTTGTATGTGTGTCCATCTGCCTGCCTGGTGCTGACTCGTGGCTGCGTGTATGGAGAGGAGCCCCTGTGCCCTCTTCTGCACAGCCAGCTGTTCAGGCTCACACTGTCACCTTCCCTTCCAGGCCTTTCTGTCCCTAACGTCCATGGAGCACTGGCCCCCCTGGCCATACCATCCGCAGCAGCAGCTGCTGCAGCAGGCCGCATTGCCATCCCAGGCCTGGCAGGAGCCGGGAACTCTGTCCTGTTGGTCAGCAACCTGAACCCCGAGGTACGTGTCCATCTGCCCTTGTCCCTGGAGCAGTGGTGGGTGCTGGCTTAGGTCTGAGGCCACATTGTCCTGGACAAGGGCACGTCCTCTGCTGTGGCCCCTGCTCCTTCCCTCTGCAGAGTTTCCTTCTCCCTCAGCTTCACTCACATCCAGCCCTGTAGTGCTCACCTGGGCAGTTCTCACTACTGCACACAAAGTTTGGGGTGCGATGTAGAGACCTGGGGCAGCCGGGATCCTGTAGGCAGGCGCAGACTCCTTAGCTTGTGCCTGGGCATGGTGCCCCAGTGTCCCTTGGATGGATGGGGCAACTTCTCTCTCTGGCTCCTGTGGCTCTTGGCTCCAGGTGGGGCAAGGCCCCTTTTCTTTGAGTGCACTGTCTGTCCAGCTGTTCGTCCAGCTGTCCTGAACGCGGCCTCCCGCGGCTGGGAACTAACAGACTCCATTCCCTCCTCCGTCCTTCAGTCTCGGCCTCAGCGGCCTCAGGGACCATCTTGCCCAGGGCCTGGGCCTCACTGGCCTCAGCATGGTCCCTGAGCCTGCATGCGGTGCTTCTCACGTGTGTTCTGCAAGGTGGTGTGTGAATGGCGTTGAGTTGTGTGTGGTGGAACACAGCCTTGTTTTCTTATGTATTTACTGACCTGTTTTTTGCTACTTTCTTTTCTCCCCTTCCCCTCTCCCATTTTTTTCTTGCCTGATCCGGAATTTCTTTGCCAACTGACTGCACGGTTCTTCCGCTTCCTGTTGTTGCTTGAAACAAACAAAACATAAATAAATAAACAAACTCCCCTCTCAACCCCGCTCTCCGGAACCAACCTGCCCTTGAATATTAACACCTGACAACTTGATCATCGCGAACCTGCTGGCCTGTGGGGACGATGGGCGCTCGCCCCCCTGACCTCTCCCTCTCCCTGTCCCCCGCTGCCCTCCTCTGCTGTCTCTAAAGAGAGTCACACCCCAAAGCCTCTTTATTCTCTTCGGTATGTTATTCCTACTTTTATTATCTTGGTTTCATTTAATTATTTGGCGCACTGCGATGTACTGAGTTTGTTTGGCCTCTGCCGGTCGTGGGTCGTGATTTGCTTCCGTTGGCGGACGTGTTGCGCGTGCGCACAGCATGGTTAGCCTGCATGCTCCAGCTAAGTCCGGCATGCGTCTGCAGGTCAAGCTGCCCAGCGCAGCGACCAAAGGGCTGAGGGATGTGGGCTCCTGGCGCCCACTAAGCACATGGCCGGCCGGGAGCCAGGGCACGGGGTGGGATGGGTGGGACAGGACACAGACCCCCCCACTCAGCCCTGTCCTGGGTTCCAAAGGTGTCTATGGTGATGTGCAGCGGGTGAAGATCCTGTTCAACAAGAAAGAGAATGCACTAGTGCAGATGGCAGATGGCAGCCAGGCGCAGCTGGGTGAGTGGGGGTTTTGTAGGCCATGGGGGTCTTTGGGTGTTACAAGTGAGGTTGGGGAGCGGGGCACACTGCTCAGTGCTGCCCTTCTCCCAGCCATGAGCCACCTGAATGGCCACAAACTACATGGGAAGCCGGTGCGCATCACGCTGTCCAAGCACCAGAGTGTGCAGCTGCCACGGGAGGGCCAGGAGGACCAGGGCCTGACGAAGGACTACGGCAGCTCCCCTCTGCACCGCTTCAAGAAGCCTGGCTCCAAGAACTTCCAGAACATCTTCCCGCCCTCAGCTACCCTGCACCTCTCCAACATTCCGTGAGTCACCAGGGCTTGTGCCATGGGAACATGGGGGCAGGGGTAACCAGAAATGGACACCAGTGCAGATGTTGTTTAGCCCTGGCTCCATTGTGACCTAGCGCAGTACTCTCCACTCTGTTTCTGGGTCCTGGTCCATCACAGCCACCGTGGGTCTGCCGCACATGGCACTCTGAACAGCACACTGCCCACACCCTCCCTGCTGTTTCTCACAGACCTTCTGTGTCTGAGGATGATCTGAAGAACCTCTTCTCCAGCAATGGAGGTGTCGTCAAAGGTTTCAAGTTCTTCCAGTGAGTGCAACTCCCTCACCCCAACTCTTCTCCCCCCCCATCCCTGCCCCACCCTGCCTCACCCTGCCTCACCCTGTTCATCCTCCTCACCCTGCAGAAAAGACCGCAAGATGGCACTGATCCAGATGGGCTCCGTGGAGGAGGCAGTGCAAGCACTGATTGAGCTACACAACCACGACCTGGGCGAGAACCACCACCTGCGCGTGTCCTTCTCTAAGTCTACCATCTAGACCGCACTCCATGATGCCACCATAACCGCAGCTGAAGTGACCTTACGCACCAGAGATTTTATTTTTTTAAAGAGAGATCGGTTTACCTGTTTTTAAAAAAATTAAATCTAGCCCACCTCGCCATGGCGACAGCTTGGGCCATCGTGGCCCAATGGGCCGGTGCCGTGCCTTGAGGGGCCCAGGCGTGAGGCCGCGGCGCCCCAGAACGCCGCCTTCAGTGCCTTACCGACAGCCTGCTGCGGCCGCCCCACCCCAAAATCAAGTGACGTGATTCTCCTTCCGGCCGCGCTCAGCTGCAGCCTTCGTATTAGACCTGTGCGGTCAGACGCCCGCCTAGAGGTTTCCAGTTGACCAAATATCCTAATCTTTCCATTTATATGCAAGAGATATAGTTTTAAGTAACTTTTTATAGCTGATGATGGTCTGCGTGTACTTTAAGCTTCGTGTCCCCCACGCGTCCCTCCTTCCTTCACCTTGACCAGGCCACGGGGATCCTGCCCCCACCTGGAGGCAGCTCTGAACCTTGAGGGGCTCCACCTCCAAATTTTGGACCAAAGTTTTGTTTCTTCCACCTCTGACCTGGGTGCAGGTGGTGAGTTGACCCATGGCTAAGGGCCCCCACCTCACTCAGCCTGTCCCAGCCACCATGACTTGTGGCCAGAGTGTAAATATTTATGATTTTTTTTATACCTGTGGGGTGGAGGAGGTGCAGCGCAGTTTTTTATGGTGACAGATGTATATTTTGGTAATTACAGGCTCAGTATTGTCCAGGGCCATCCCTGGTCAGACATTCCACCCCATTCCCCAGGTGCCCCTCCGGGCGGGGCTCCACAAAGCTGTTTCTGCCCTGTGCTCCCCGCCCCCTCAGGTGTTGAGGCTCCGGCAGGGCTGGGCCTGGACTCAATAAACGCCTGTGTCTTGTGTCTGTGTGTGTTCACTGCACCTCTGGGGCACCAAGGATGAAGCCTAAGGGGTGGGTTCTGGGTGTGAGGTCACTTGACCTCAT